TGCGAAACAAACTCTTTGAAATGTTTACTTATAAAATATTTTACGCAATTTATTTTAATAAGTAAAAGTGCTCGCACTTTAAATTCATGTAGCCTTTCGATCGATATCAATAAAATAAGTCACAGCTTTCTGCATGTAAAAAAAATAATTGATACGTCTCTCATCGCATTAGCAACAGCTCGCCAAGTTTTGTTCGGGCATCTCCTCTCACGGTTGGACTTGTTTTTTAGGTACTAGGTAGGCAGCAGTATATCGTACGACCGATGATAATGGAGGAAAGATGTACTTCTGGAACCGGTAGTGACAAACCGGCAATTGCCGAAGTAGCGGTATATTGAAGAGGCAGCGCTGGCGCATGCTCCAACCTTGACTGAACGAAATCTTCGAGAATATGGAATACCTTTGCAGCAAGCTATTGAAAAGGTACTTATTACATTCGACACGTTAACAGGAAAATAAGATTTGGATTGAGATTTATTATAGTTAAGACAAATTTTTTTTACAAACTTATTAAAGAAAGTTAATAAAATATATTATATTTATTATTTATTATTATTTGTTATTATTATCCCTGTTATTTTATTATTTTGTTATTTCTCTCATATATATTTATTTATTTCTTTGGGGAATTAGAGGGGTTTTAAAGAAATTAAATCTCAAGTAAGAGATTATTTCTTATCATCAAGTCTTGGTAGTACACCAAGAATAATAGATGCCTTGTGCACATTTGTTATTTCCATCGAAAAATCTTATTTTCGGTGGTGGAATATACGCAGGAACATCCGTGTATGGCTCTTAAAGCCTTCCTTAGTTGTATTTATTGTTATTTATTATTATTTTATTGTTTATTATTTATTAATTATTAATTATTTTGTTATTATTTATAGATTACATTTATTTGTTTATTTATTAAAAAAGAGAAAGATTTAAATTGTTTTACGAATCTCTATTTGTCTCTCTATACTTTTAAAAAGCGAGTATTTATAAAAAAACATTCGCTTTTGTAATGAAAAAACTATAAAATATATTAATATAATTAATTGTTATTTTAATTATATAAAAAAATTGATTATACAAAATCGCAAAAGATTTGGTAAACACTTTAAACACTTAATCTTAAAGGCATATGAGACGTATGATACATATATAGACAGTAGACATATAATATACCATTAAAAAAGGATTTTTATTAATATGTAAAAAAAACTGGAACCATCATTTAATATTTTTTCTGCATTTTATATTATTAATAATATGTATTATGATCAAATTATTTTTATTTTTAAGAATCAATGTAAACATTAAAATTAAATAATCGAGATTGAAAATTGTATTTAAATTTTGAAGATATTCAGAAAACATTAATAATTTATGAAATTTTGCACTTTTTGCAATATTTGTATGTCTCATACATTCTTAAATTGTAAATTATATAATAAAATGCTACTTTCTTTATGATTTTATTATCACGATAATAATATTGACGATTACTTTTGACACACATATATTGATAATATTTAGGAATTAATTACTAATGATAAATAACAAAAACATATATACAGGGTGTTCGGTAACTAACGGACCAACGATCACAAATGGATTCTTTGGTCAATTTGGGAACGATTTTTCCTCAGCGAAAATGTCAAAAAAGGTCATACATTTTTTACAACTTTCGCAATATTTGTCATTATGTATCTTTATAACTAGCCTTAAATTAAAATTGTATTATAGTAAACTCTACCTGAAATTAACTGAAGAATGTAATTATGTTAGACTTTGAACTCCAAAATGTTTATTTTTCAAAAAACCCTTTTTTTCAATCGCTTATAACTCGAAAATTATTGACTTCTCAACATTTTTGCTGAGGAAAAATCATCATCTTTTCACCTACCCTACAACCCCTCAACGTTTGGCACCGGAGTTCCCGAACACCCTGTATATTAAGTTGCAAATAAAGTGACCGTTTTTCAATTCAAACTTCCCGCCTTTGTAGTTTAACTTGTTCCATATAGATGACGATCGTTGTATGTATATACTATGTAAAAAATGCACATGCATGCAGGCGCAAAACTTTACTTGTTTCGTATGATAAAAGTGAAAACAAATTTATTTTTAACATAAAGAAATTCGTATAACTTATACAAATTTATCTTGGTTATAGTAAAATTGAACATAAATACTGTTTTCGGCAAAGATATTGTGAGTGATCGAGCTATATTAGTTTCGGTCCAGTGTATGATGGTACACAAGAAATATCGTACTAAAAGCTACTGCTAAAATTTGAGTTCAATTTACTAACTAATTTAAAAGTTATTGCAATTTAAATTTTTATTAGTTTTACATATAATTTTATTAAAATTCGTTGTTATCATTAATTGTATTACGCTAAAAATATGGAAAAATAGTATTATATATATTTCAAAATTTTTTACATGTATAAGTGGAACTTTATGGGGCAATATTGCCAAAATTATATAATATTTATTAAACCGTTTAGAAAAAAATAATAATTTTTTGAAAATTTTTCTCCGGATTACTGAGCATTCGATTGTGTCAACGCTGAAGAATAGCATTGATACTTTTGTTTCTGATTTTATCTTTAATAAACACATTTTTAATAGATCGGTGTATTAATTATTTCATGATAATGCGCGATCATAACAGGTCGTCAAAAAATTAATAAAATTAAAGTGCGAAATTCTTCTTTTCTTTTGACCTTTTGCCCATTTACTATCATTTCTTCAGATATCTAAATAGCTTTTCGACTAGAAAAGTATTTCGAGAAAAAATCTAAAAACTGCATTCGAAAAATTATCTCATTCTCCGATTTCTTTCGAAAACATATATTAAATGCGCTATATCATTGGAAGAAATATGTTAAGTAAATGGAGGCTACTTCGATTAATAATTACATATATTAAAAATAAATTAATATAATTGTCGCTCGTGTATTGAAAACAAAGTGATAAATATAAGGCCAACTTATCGAGCTGAATATTCGAGATGTTCAGTCAACTACCATTTATTACATGTATAAATTATAAAACTACAGTCATTATATTATATTAAAACTAACGCAAATTAACGCAAATTACAATCATTCTATAAACGTTTCGACCGCACGCGGTCTTCTTCAGTATAATTATTGAAAAATAAATTCTTACAATTCACATGATATCGAAATTTAATTATAGTTATTCAGAATCGAGAGTTTTTGAGCAATTAACGCGTGTTTCAATCCGTCCTGTCCAACAATGTTCGCCTCGATATGATCTCTGATTTTGTTCAGATCTCGGATGATTTCATCGTTAATATGCGAGAAATTAACCCGTACCGTAGGCGCTGCGATTAATAAGAAATTACCGATCAACGTATGTCCAAATTATAATATATATTCCCTACAATTGGTATCCTCAACAAACTGGATAATATTATTAAAGCACAGAAAGATAAAACTAAACATCCATGCAATTCGAATGTGGTTTATAAGATCAGTTGCAATAATTGTAATGCATCTTATGTAGGCCAAACAAAGAGGCAATTGCAGACGCGAATAAAAGAACATAAAAATAATATTAGGTTGGACTCAACGAAACATTCAGTAATTTCTGAACACATAATAAATGAACATCATACTTTTAATTGGGACAATGTTAAGATCATGGACAACGAAAATATTATTATAAAAGACTCATTTCTGAGATGCTACATATCAAGGAACAAAAAAATGGACTAAATTTAAACAAAGATACTGAGTTACTTAGCGAGTCGTATTTTGATATTTTGGATATATTAGCGAACAATAAATAATAATAGGACAAATAGGACATTAACGAGTAAAACATAGATATTAGATCATATATAAACACGCACGCTCTCCGATCAAGTAGAGTTAAAATGAGCTGTCTTTCTGTATTGTTGTTGTTAAGTGTCATCCTTAATAACTGTTAATAAGTAGCAAAATTGTCAAGAAGAACGATGATAGGAAGCATACTACCAATTGTAGGGGATATATATTATAATTTGGACATACGTTGATCGGTAATTTCTTATTAATCGCAGCGCCTACGGTACGGGTTAATTTCTCGCATATTAACGATGAAATCATCCGAGATCTGAACAAAATCAGAGATCATATCGAGGCGAACATTGTTGGACAGGACGGATTGAAACACGCGTTAATTGCTCAAAAACTCTCGATTCTGAATAACTATAATTAAATTTCGATATCATGTGAATTGTAAGAATTTATTTTTCAATAATTATACTGAAGAAGACCGCGTGCGGTCGAAACGTTTATAGAATGATTGTAATTTGCGTTAATTTGCGTTAGTTTTAATATAATATAATGACTGTAGTTTTATAATTTATACATGTAATAAATGGTAGTTGACTGAACATCTCGAATATTCAGCTCGATAAGTTGGCCTTATATTTATCACTTTGTTTTACATATATTAATAAGTTGTTGCCAAATACAAGTTTCAATTTAAAAAACGGCCATTTTATTTGCAACAATCTAATACTATCGCGCGATATTTTTATTTCAAGTTTGAAGCATGGTGGAGTTCTATGTCCGGTGTCACGTTCGGTGCTAAGCCGCGATTCATCGTAGATGGTCAAGCACCGATGAGGCAATGTCTACATCCGGAGGCCTGCAACAAAGATATCGAGCTACCGGAACATTACAATTACTTCCACGATTTGCGAAAGGATTTTGTAGAGTGCTATTCGTCTTACGGAGAATTATCGACCCTTGGAGTACAAGAGATGTTGCAATGTATCCTTTTAAATTTATTATGTGCACAATTTATTATCACAATTACTAACCTCTGACTTCGCGTATGTTTTTCTACTTTATATATTCTTTTTCTACATACTTGACAAACATTTCTAAACCCTTTTGTTCCGTTTTCGATTTATAAAACAGATAATATTTTTGACATTATATTACCCCTTGCAACCCTATATTAATTTTATTTTGGTATAGAGATCTAGCATTTACGTTCTTTGATATTAATGTTTTTAAAGTAATCTTTTTTTCTTAAATTATAATTATTATTAAATATGTATTTAAGCATAAAGTAGAGATTATATTTTTATATATCGATATTTAACCAAAGAAGTTTGGTATGTCTGCAAAAACCACGTTACAATCAATTTTTTTTATTCAATCTATGGGCATTTTAAAACCTGGTTTTTTTAACATCCTCAGGATTAGATAGATATTTAGGATGTCTACAAACTTTATAATAAAAAAGAATTTGTATGATTGCAATCAGGGTTGGGAAATTTAATTACTTTTAAAAAGTAACTCGTTACCATTACTTAAAAATAACGATTAAAAAATCGTTACTTTCCGTTACTTTTTTCTTAGTGTTAAGTAATATAAGGTGAACATAAAATGCGTATAAAAATTTTAATTTTTAAATCTTTTTTTTTATATTTTATCTGCCAGTATGAATTCTACTTAATGTCATATATATGTCATGCACTGTTTCTCATAGAGATATTCATCATAAATCCGATCTTATATTAAGATCTAAATATGTATGAATAGCTATAGAAATATATTAAAAAGTAACGATAAAGTAACGCGAATCAATTTCGTTACTTGTTACGATAGAAAATGTAACGTCGTTACTTTTTCGTTATACAAATAGAAAAAAAGTAACGGCGTTACCAAATCGTTACCGAAAAAAGTAACTGTAACGGTAACGGCGTCACAAGTAATGCGCTACTTCCCAACTCTGATTGCGATGTGTGCTTCTTGCAGACACAACCCAACTATAAAAATATGTAAAAATATAATACTACAAAATAGCAATTCTTAACGGTAAGATATGGTAAAACGATAAGTCAGATTGTGGAATTCTTTTAGATGTCATTTATGTGATGTCTTCCTTTCTTCTAAAATCGACGCGTTAAAGAACTTATTGATATCATCAGGAGACGCGGTAACATTTTGCTAACAATAAGTACATATATCTTTTCTTCAAATTCAATCGAAAGATATAGTGAAAACATCGAGATATATAATATTATCATTTTGATGATGTTTTCGGAAATCCGATTCTTAAACTTGAATACTTAATGAATTTCTTTTGATAACATATTGCTTACTGGAATTGATTCGAATGGCGCGCTATGTTAGTTATGAAATTTCGCATAATACTGTATGCTAATACTAGTTCATGCCATCTTTGTCGATATTGATAACAATTAAGTGTTCACCGCGCGGTAGCATTTTACAGCTTGCGGTCTAACTCTTGATTTGCGTAATACACATTAGCAACTGTGACGCAAATAAAACATATTTTTGTTGCACCATTTGTGAATTTCTACATCGATGATAGACCTTCGCGTTATATTGCCATTAGATGGCGCGTCGTCCGATCGAGACGTCCCGATCGTCATCTTATAACCGGAGTCAGTAAGCTTTGCGGTAGTATAAAATACGAATGGACATATCGTTGCTGCGCTCCGTGAAGCGAATACGATTGTGACGAATTCTCCGACTTCTTTTCGCAAATTAAATACGAAGCGAAGAAATTGGGGTCAAATCTTTGTAGCGGAATTATTTTGGATTCGTGCATTTAAATGATGTTTGGAATTAAGATCGTAAATAGGTATGTTACTGTTTTTTGTAATCTGTTTCTGGAATTTTTATGTGTTTAGAAGGTTCAAATATCTGGTCGTTAAATTCATTCGAAAAATAAGATTTTGTTATCTATCGTTTGATCTTGATATATAAACAGCTTGTTTTTAATCTTCTGATCTGTTAAATAATATTGTAATTAAATTAATCGACCTTTAATTTTGTATTTACTTATAAAGGTGATACTCTGATTCTCGATAAGAATCGCGCTATCGCTTTCTTACATTTTATTTAGTCAGATAGACTTTAGGGACAAAATTTATTTTAATGTTTTAAAAAATTCCTCATACACATACGTTCCAAAATTATTTTCTTTCTCGATTTGTCTCACTCTTTTTTACGCATAAATGGATTTTGCTGATGAAATATCGAGTATTTTTATTTATTGTGGTGATTTAAATCGTGAATTTGTTTTCATATTCTATATTTTGTTGTGTATATATATATACACACACACATATATATATATATATATATATATATATATATATATATATACCGGGTGTCCGGTGACTCACGTTTTACACGTTAATGAGAGATTCCTAAGGCGATTGGAGACGATTTTTCCTTAGTGAAAATAATGAGAAAGGTCATCATTTTTTTAATATTCCCAATTTTTGAAATTATGTATCTATGTAACTAAGCCTTAAATTAAAATTCTATTACAGTAAACTTTATCTGAAATTAACTAAAAAATGTAGTTTTGTTAATAATTTATTTTTACAAAGCTTAGTTTACAAAAAAGCTTTTATTTTCAATCATTTATAAATAAAAAATTATTGGTGCCTGGACATTTTTGCTGAGGAAAAATCGTCTCTAAATCGCTTCAGAAATCTCTCATTAACGTTAAACGCGAGTCACCGAACACCCTGTATATATATATATATATACCGGACACCCTGTATATATATATATATATATATATATATATATATATACCGAACACCCTGTATATATATATATATATATATATATATATATATATATATATCCACTGGTGGTAATAAAATGTGACCACTTGCGCCGGATCTAATTAATATGTGTACAAATATACACATATGCATACCGATCGACACATCATCATCGCTCACCTGTTTAATGCGTCCAGATTAGTCGAACCACATGCGATGATAATATGAAATATTTGCATATTTAAAAAATTTTTTAATCTATTTTAAAGCAACAATTTGTAAAGAATTAGGATTATTATTTATAAATTTTTTAAATACTCCGTTAAAAATTAGAAACTGTTAATATTATCATAGTAGTGATACGAGTATATATTTATTTTGAGTTATCTATTTAACCCCATGATATTATACTTTAACAAAATTACTGACGTTCTTTTATTTTCTTCTATCTCGAAAAAAAAGTCATTTCTTCTCAATTTCCAATTTAATGTTGGACTATAAGTTTTGCTTTCACGATTTTTCTTTTCTTGCATCTTCGACAGAATACATTTTTGGATATACTTTTTTGCAAATGAGGAAAAACATTGCGGGAAGGGAAAAATGAAAATGTATTTTTGTTACAATAACGACCAGATGACTTCAGAAAGCTCTGACTGAAACGATGCGGTCTCTTATCGAGACATGGTTTAAAGGTCAGCCTTGTAGCGAAGATATTAAGCTAGTGATGAACGTCATGTGTACATATGTGTGTGTATATGTAAAATGCACACACAGTTTCTCCGATTTCCTTAGTGGTTTCAGTTTTCGATTAGGTACTCGTTACTAATCTGTATGATTCGTATTATCTGGATATTATAATAGTATTCACATCCACACACATTAATAGTTAAATATAGGGTATTATACATAGTAACGCTCTCCTCTTTCTCCTTATTTTTGTTTGCGATCTCTATCATGTTGTTGTAACACTGTTTATCAAATCATATAACAAAATTCACTATTTCTTCCGCTCGTTTAACATGTGATTAAAGTTTTGAATGTTATTTGCTCATATATAAAAACACATACGTACACATAAAATTGTTTTTTTTATATCATATATATATATACTATTACTAATATACTCTTCTATCTCATCGTTATGTAAAATCTCTATAATTTAGGTCACATGCTAGGGTCACATGCAAAGTGACACCGATGTCATTTATAATCAAGAAGTTTATATGAAAAAGAAACATGTGCAAGATACAAAGTTGATTATATAAATTATTATTTTTCATGTTTTATATTTTCAAATTGTTTTGAAACATTTATTATTTTTCCCGGATTGCACATCTTTACATCTTTTATATATTCTCTTTTACTATTTTTTAAAGAAATACAAGTTTTTTTACGTTTTTATATCCCGGGAAGCTGTTTATATTAACATTTCTCTTTTGTCGTACTTACTCTCTATTGCACATTTATAATTTCAATATTATTAACGTCGATAAAATAAACTTTGATAAAAGAAAGTGTAAAATTCTCTCTGTAAACGTTTCGCATGATTCCTGTTTCCGATAAATTTGAGTCAGCTTATGCATGAAGCACAAAGGTCGTAAGAACTCATACCTTTACAATTCCTGCTCCAAAAGACTTCTTGAAAATATGGATGAATAATACGCGTCAGCGTTATACGATATCAAAAATCGATTTTTTTATCGTACTCGAACAGATTTCTCCTTAACTGTTGAAAATCAGATTTCGGACTGCCGCCTGATACCGACAATGATTTTCATGTTAAAGAGATACAGGATATGGTGAACGTGATACAGAGAATGATCAAAGATGGTAAGCTATTTTTTATTTTTATTTTTTTAATGGTAAACTAATAAGTATTTAGTTATACATCGAATACTGCCATAGTGTTTGTTGTTATCTAAATAAAATTATATAGATGATTATGTAAATGAAGTTTTAACGTCATCTTATCTTTATATAGTTAATTAATATTAATATATATATTATCTGCATCTTAGATAAAAAGTCTTATCTTTACTAAATTACCTAGAATAACGTTTAGATAATTTGGTTTAGGGCTTTAGCACATAAAAATACTTAAGTATTAGAACTTAAGTAGTAAGCGATAAAAACTTATAAATAAAAAAATGAATATATTTTTATATCTCTTTTATAATTTATATTTATTTTTTTATAATTGTGTTTAGATAAACGGTCTTAAAAATATTTAGATAAATCATCACATAATTTTATCTTTTATCTAGATTTAAAACAAAATCATTTTTATCTTATCTAACAATAAGATGAATTTATATATTTTTATCTCATTTTTATTTTTCTAATTTTAAAATCATCTAACAAAAGCACAACACTGAATACTGCATTGTTTCACATATCAATGTCGTAGAAAATGCCTTAAAATATATCTCCATTTTTTTAAAAAAGTTTTCTAGGAAGAAAAACAAATAAAAATCAATCAATTTAGTTCAATCTAATTCTAATCTTGCAAAATAAGAGAAAGGAAGAGAGAGAAGAGTATGAATTTATCAATTTTCACAAAATTATATAAAGAGGGAAATCTTATATTATCTTAACCTTAAAACATTTGTTTTCTCGGGAGAACTCTATCTCTTCTTTTTCTTTTTTTTTTTCTTATAACTTGACATTTATAAGATAAGAAGCTTCGCATGAGTTACGTGCTCGCATATGTATACATAATGTAACATTGTGTATGCATTTCTCCAAATAATATATGCAGTATGTTTACACATTGATGATGCCCTTGAAAATTGCGTTGGTATATAATTAAAAACCGTTCTTCAATCAAGGAATTATCTCACTTGAAAAATTTTTCGATTATGCAGAGAAAAAATAATACATCGTCAGAATATATTTTCTTCAAAAAACAAATATATTACTTCTATTTGATACGTAAAAGTTGAATTTTTTTTCTAAATTTTTTCTAGACAATTTAACAATTGAAATTATATTTTCCAAAACAATGACATTTTAATTACTGCACCATGCACTTTAATAACATATATATGTAGTTTCTCCTCTAATTGCACCCGAGTAAGAGTGCAGGTCAAATTGTTTTGTACAGTAGTAGTGCTGGTGTATGACAACTTCCTTATCACAGTAACACTCAACCTATTGAAAATTACGTCATTGACTAATATTGAAAATATGAACTAAGCTGCGTGATATGTATGTGAAAAAAAAAAACAAACGGATTACGCTTAACATCGCATATTTTTTAATTTATTATATTGATAAAATATTATACATGTAATAGTAATTTAAACAACCAAACTATTCTATTTAAAATTCTCTCTCTCTCTCTCTCTCTCTCTCTCTCTCTCTCCCCCTCCCCCTTTTTTCTTCTAGGTAAAAGCTTATGTATAGTCGGAGAAAAAATTTTAATTTTTATAATAATTTTGTTTATAAAATTTTGTGTATAATTTATTATGTAACAACTTGAGGAAATATTTCTAAAACATATTTTAATTTTCAATTTAAAATATTCAAAAATATTAAAAAATTTTGGACATTTGTTTTTTATAGATAATATTATAAACACGCAAAATATCTCTTTAATAACATCCGATAAATAATATTTATTCTGTCCTTTATTTTTGTAAATTGTTTCTTTAAAGATTTTGTATCCTTTTATTATAATTATAATTATTATGATTTATAATATAAAGACAGAAAGATACAAAAATATTTTATACATACATAACCATTTAAAAAATGACACAAATAACCTTCAAATGATTTTGAAAAGCTCCATTTAGAAAAATATCAGTAGCATAATCTTCAGTCCGTCTTTAAATCAAATAACTTTTATTTGAAACATTTTGTTGTACAATCAAAAAGTTTTTTGAGGGTAATCGATTAAAATGGGACATCCTGTATAATTTTTTTTTTTTTTTTTTCATTGGTTACATTTTAAAAAATACAAAGAGAAAAAGATACAAAGTTACTTATATGAATGAAGAAATGTCGATTGACTCCGCGTGCATTCCTCAAAATGAATTTTTTACTTGTCGGCGGTGCACAAATTTTTGCCGAGTCTGCGATTCGAATAATCATTTCGTGCAGGTATGAGAAAGCCGAGACACAAACTAACGGATATATAGAGTTACGCAGGAGAAACGTAATAAGCGCATAAGTTCAGAAGACATTATCGCAGACTGACGTTTCTGTAATGCAGTCCGATTCTTTATTGTGTACGAAGTGATTTCAATACTTTTTGCAAGTATTTGTGCAATAAATTATGACCTGTACTCATTCTTGAGTTTTTAATCATCTTGCGATAATACAATTCAAAATTTTATATTCTAAGCCTGCCTTCATTTTTTACTGGTAATGAAAATATATAATATACTATTTACAACTATAAAGTTGTCGCTTATGTTCTCCAATCGCTGCTCTACGTCAAATAATCGTCAAAATCGAAATCCTTTATTATTTTTGATTCTTTAAATTATTTTTATTGTTTTTTCTTGTTAATTGCTATTTGCAAAATAATCATCTTAATAAGTGATTTTAATAAGTGAATATTTGAAAATTTTGAAATTAAAAAATTTTTTTTTTGCATTTTATATAAACTGTATAACTATTATGTATGTTTTATCGTTAGATGGCGTATAAGGAAAAAGTGCAAAAATAGATAAATAGTATGAGTTAAAAAAATTTTTGTTAATGGACTGGTGTTCTATGATCCAATCATATGTGTACATACATACTGTGTATTTCTACGAGATTTAACAAAAATGTGTGGCGCTATTGAAAGCGTATTTTATTTATCGAAAAGAGCAAAAAGTGCATATAAACATATTTAGGTTGAAACTTCAGATAATTATAAAGCATATTATTTTATTTCCAACAAAACAGTAGAAATTAAATAATTTGTTCTATTTCAAAAGAAAAAAAACAAATCTTATGATGAGATTAATAAGTATAATATCTTACAAACAAATTCGAATCTGTTTACATATGATTTTGAACTTTCTATGATTATTTTGAAAAAAGAGCCTTCAAGCAGAACTTAAACTTGGACGAGATAGATTCGAACCCTCTATAAAAGTATATCTTTTAAATACTATACATTCAAATCTGTATCAAGAACATATTCCAATTTTTATAAGTACTTAGAAAAAGGTGGTGGAGATAAGTAAATGAGTGAGTATACATACATATGTAAATGTGAGAAATGTAATATGCGTATATGTGGATGTGTATAACAATTAAGTACCATAAATAGATTTTTTTTATCTTAGACTTTGAGTGTATTACTCGTAACAGCTTCGATTTTTTTACGAAAGTATTTAAATATTATTATTATTTTATAAATATTATTTATTCTTACCTTGCAGGTATTCAAATATTAAAATTCGAATATAATATAATACTATTTTTGATTATTTGGATCCGACTCGGATTTTGAAGTATATACAGGGTGTCCCATAGGAAATTGCTGAAACTATATAATCAGCTGTCATTTTTTAATGCATGCAATAATTGAGCAAACAAAATTGTGTTGCGAAAACAAATAAAGGAAAGTCTGCAGCTTTTAATGGATATAAATAAATGTTTGTATACTAATTTTATTAAAAAAAAGTAAAAAGTGTTAATAGTCATATGTAAACTAATGATAAATATTTTCGAAATGCTCATTATTTGAATTTGTACAAAATTTTATATCAATAAAATAAACTGGTATATATACAAACATTTTATTTATATCCATTAAAAACTGTAGATTTTTCCTCTTTCTAACATAATTTTGGTTTTCTCAATAACTGGACGCATATTAAAAAGTGACAACTGATTATAGTTTCAGCAATTTCCTATGTGACACACTGTATTATATACATACATATACATATATTGAACTTGATTCTATTCTAATTTCAAAACGATGTTCAATTATTCGTTTATTTTTTAAACGCATTTTTGAATATAAATTTTGAATTATTTTTTGAATATAAAGGTGTATGAACTACTT